AATACTTGAGACTGTCATTATGCAAATGCAACTTTACTACTTTAAATTCTCACAAAATTTCTTCCCCATGTTTGACATCAACAAATTAACAGGTTAAATAATGATAAAATGCGAAGGGGTCCTATAGTGGTGAATAATACAAAATTTCAATCATCTGATATAATTTTACTAACTTATATAAGCCTAGACTCACTGTGACCAGACATAAAAACCAGCACATGCATAACCTTTCTGATACTCATCATCTTGCAGTTTACATAAAATTATAGACGTATGATCCATGCAAGTAATATAAATATTGTTTTGCCAATTATTTTTAAGTAACCAAAGAAAGCTCACTGTATATATATACTTCTACATGTACATGGCAGTGCAATTTAATTATATATATATATATATCTTAAGCATGTATTTAATGGCAGCAAAATAAAAAAAAGTTTCAGAATATATTTATCTCTCCTCTGTTTAAAAAATTTATTATTCATTTGTAAAAGAAGCAAGGTTGTTAAAAATAAATTTTAGAGTAAAAACACCCACTTACCTCAAAATTGGAAAAGGAAATCATTTGAGTCCTCCCTATCAATTGAAACTGCTTCTGTTCAAGTAGTAGTTTAGATCAGTTCTGCTTCCAAGTAGGAAAAGGTCATTCACCATCTGCATCTAAACCCATTGTACTTTCTTGTTTTGAGATTCAAGGTAAAAAAGCACATTTGTCCACAGCAAACTTTCACTACTTTCCCACACAATTTAACAAAATTAACTTTTACAATGAAATAATCAATATGAAATCACGCTTCATGAGGACCGTCTACTGAGTCAGTAAGATAGACGAAGTGAAACTGCCTGCATGGCAACATTTTCATCAGTATTTATATCAATGAGTGAAAAGATCTCAGTTGGAAGTTTCACAAACAAATCAAAGTCCACAGACATCCAAGGAGAAGAGTCAGGATTATTCAATTTATTGATGGCGCATTATCACATTCTACGCAAAACGGATGGAAACACCTATTCAGAGTTAGATAATTATGTCAAAGTCCACTCAGGTTATAACATTTTAGTGCATTTCAACATGATTCCCATCAAACTCATCACAATCATGATTTTCTCTGTTATTATCAATTCTAAACTGATGTTTGCAAAGCAAACGATGTGACATTTCTGTTAAGCGTACGCATAAAAATTGACCTCGGCGGGCCGCAGAAACAAGCGTGTGCGAGGGGGGGGGGCGTTGAAAAAAATTACAAAAAAAATATTTGCCCAAATTTGCCCCAAAATCTGAAATGTTGGTTAGAAACCTTAGTCCTTGTTCTTCTACATGGTATATATTTTGTCTTGCCGCCCTTTGCCGCCTTTAAAAAATTTATCAGTTTAAAAGTTTGCCCTTAAAAATTTCCACTTCTGACCTCTCGTAGATCGCGAAAACAATACCCATAAGGAAGTAACAGCTGTTCTCTATCACGTGTCAATGTAGGGCTGTTCCCGATGCAGTAGTTGAGACACGCCGTGCATTGTAAGAGCGAGTTGAAATCTGATACTCTGGGGACAGTTTTTATGGCGCTTCGCGAAATAGAACAACTAACGCCACCTATGGGCGTCTGCGCTCGCTATTGCATGCGAAAGATAAATTGTTCATCACCATGCTTTTAGAAAGATGTTAGTCTTACATGTATGTCTTGGAATGAGATATGTTTCATATTTTCTTAAAAATATACTTCCAACAATCTGCCAGCGTTTATTGATAAATATTAACCAATGTGAGATAATAATAATAATAATAAAATTTCAAATAAAGACAAGTAATGATCTCTTTTGGGAAGTGCATTGTTTAAATAAGTAAACAAGGAATTAATATTCACGGATATGATGAAGAAAGTATTAAAGAAATTAATGAAGATTAATTGCACATGCCTTTTTCAGGCTGCACTGCCTGACGCAACGCAATGCAAGAAAAGATGTTTCTGCTGAGTGAAGTCAAGAGAGAGCAGACATTACTCAGTACAGCATTTACAAATTTACCTCTATAGAAGCTACAGGTTGCGCCAGCTTCTCCTTGTCCAGCTTCATCATTTCTTCCCAACTCTCCATGTTCAATTTGTCTTCCTATCATGCAAGCAAACCTAAAGAAAGTTACCCCAAGTCAAAGGTACTCATGAGTGGAGGTTTGCCGTGCATGCTTATTTTCGCTGGATATTCGTAAGCGCTTTTTCAAGATACGACCAACACTTTTGATGTAAAAATGATATTATTTGTGCAAATTTTCATTACTGCCCAATTTCAACATGTGTAAATGATAATGATATAGTCAATCAAGTTTTCTTTTTTATTATACGAATATGATCAAAATCGTAAAAATACGTTTTGATTAAATGGCTGAGGCGTATCCTGTAGCGCCACCTTTTGGGAACATATTATTAGGCCGGTGTGTTGACCTAATTACCTGCTAAACAGTGGAGGTGTGGAGAGGTCAGAACTTTTCCATTGGACTCCAGGAACATATCAAGTGTGAATTGTTCAGGTAAAGCTTATACGTATTTTTTCATTTTAGGCCTTTTTTGTGGCATGATTATTTCATGATTAAATTCGTCAATGCACTGCACGATGCTATCTGCCACGTTACTTGATAAACTTTGTCCTGAATTTTGTGTGCATGTGGTGGAGTGTGTGTGTATGTGTGTGTGTGTGGGGGGGGGGGGGGGGGGGGGGGGATTATAGTCGAGGCTTAATTTTTACATAATTCATTCCCATGTATTTCCAAAACTCATATTGCTGACTTTTATCACCCCAGAATGATGATATCAGATTACTTGTACATGTATATTTAATGAAAATCTATAGAATTTATTATTTTATTGTTTATACTGTTGTGTCAGTTGTGCATGTACTTGAATAACATGAAATGCAGTTTTAGGGATTAAGGTGGGAAAAAAATAAACTAAAATTTGTCAGGTCTCTGTGATAGTTATGCTAGTAAACATGTTTGTACTTACCGTTCATCCCTCTTGTGAGTCTCAAAACTAATTTAAGGAAAGTTCTGCACAAATAATATGTGCCTTTGAAACAGCAAAGACAGGTTTTCAAGGAAATGGAAAAAAATTCTTATCAAAACAACAAATAAGCCCGCTAAGTTAATCCATAACATTGAAACCCAGTTTCTTATATATATATATATATATATATATATATATATATATATATATATATATATATATATATATATATGGGGTATATTGCTCAACAGATTGCTATAGTCGTATGCACCAATGATTATTAGCTCATATATAGTCATGCATCATAAAAGTTCTTTTGAATGTGGTCTTCATCCCTATTGTACATTGAATTCCATCTGTGTCAGAAAATTTGAAAGCAATCTATTTCACCAACAAAACAAATATAGAACTCTGATTTAGTAACTGCTTAAAGCCAGTCACCTGAGAGTTGGTTATTAAGTGCAGTTGAAATAAGGCTTTAGTGTACACTAAAGTATATACATATTTACATAGAAATATCATTGAAGTCATTTCATTATGATATCAAGTGTGAAAAAAAGCCACTATGTGTTCCAGCTTGCCTTATTTTTAAATATATACGGATGTAATAATTTTTCACTTATTTAAGACATTCTACATTTAAGAAAAAATTCATAAAAAAATCTTCTAATACAAAGATTACATAAATTGAAAACTGAAATTGTGCCTAAAAGAAGGTCATCAACAAAGTATTGATTTCAATGTATGATAAATTTTTTTGAAAATGTGGGCTCTGAAAAACATCTGAACCCTGATTTTCTATTTAGGTCTTAACTTGGAAGATTGGAAAATTTTCATCATGGCATCAAACCCAAAATGCCCAAAGTTGAATGTGGAAGACTCAGAAAAGAAACAGAGGGTAAGAATTTGGGTTCATTATAAATATCCAACATTGCAGAATGCTGTAAATGTTATAAACCCTAGAATTTGCATCTGTTCGAGTTTAAATGACTTATATAATTAAGGTACTGAAATGAGGTCTACTCAAGATTATTTTTAACAAGATACTTGATCCATGCCATCACAATAGATATTGACACAATGTCAAAACGGTATAATAAGACAGAGACACAGCATTTCCATAACCAGTCTAATTACATAGAATCATGTTTATTTAAAATGATCTAGGACAATGTTATGTAAGTGTATATTTTATCAATATTTTGATCGCAACCTTTTTCTTTTATATAAAAGATTTTGGAGATCACGGCCCCATTGCGACTGACTGATGAGACTGTGAGGAAAGTCATGGATACCTTGGATTCTGAGATGGACCTGGCAATGAATAAAGATCCAGAGAAGAGGAAACAAAGTAGTTGTCTTTGTGAAAACACTTATGTCAGAGCCCTTTGTGATGGAACAGGTGAATAAAAACATAAAGAAATGTACAATAGGCTGTGAAGAGCAAAGATACTTTTTTCTACTAAGAAGTCATTGTTTTTTTTTTTTTTTTTTTCTGATTTATGGTGTCTATCTTCCCCTCCCCTAACATTTAAAAAAGAAATTACAACACGCTGAAAACTTTTTTTATAATGCATAAATTATTTGGAGGACATCAAACTTAACTTAGTACTCCAGTATCACATATTTTGATTATATAATTACAGAGGATGGAGACTATTTAGCACTTGACCTTGGAGGTACCAATTTTAGAGTGATCCATCTTCAAATGAAGAAAGGTCTTATCACCAGAGATTACTGCAAAGAAGTGAGAATACCTGAGGAAACTCTGTGCGGACCATCTAAAGATGTGTATGAATACATTGCGGACAGCATTTGTGTCTTTTTAGATGAAGAGAACTTGAAGGGGAAGAAGCTACCATTAGGTTTGTAGAGTGTCACTTGCCTTCTTTTATTTTTATTTAAGCTTAGATATAGCTATACAGAAATTAACCAAGTTCTAGCTTAAAAGTTTGGACGCATTGAAGATTATCTTAGAAATATATTACAATCAAATTTCACATCATATCTGAAGCCTACTTTCTTACCCTGAGTGTCTGAGGGCACTGGTAACTCCTCTGAGCTACAAGCATTCAGACAGGTAAGTTTCCAGTGTCCTTTGAAACTCGGGGGTAATTTAACCCTAAGAAATTCATTAAAGACTACAAAAATTTTAATGGTCAGGCTGCTTCCTCTGAAAATTATGATGTCAAATGTCATTTAATAGAGCAAAAAAAAAAACCAAAACATTAATTGAGATTGGACTTTTTATACTTTCTTTCCAGGTTTCACCTTTTCTTTCCCAATGACTCAGAAGGGACTGAAAAGCGGTATTCTAATCACATGGACCAAGAGCTTCAGGTGCAAAGATGGAGTTGGGGACGATGCAGGGGCAGCTCTGGAGGGGGCAATGGCAAAAAGGGAGGTAGGTTGGTCTTGTAGTATCTATTAATTTACTGTATCTCTTTATATGTGGCTTGAACATTTGGGATCATTTGGGTTTTTGATATATTATTTTACTATCCTGGGCTGCTATTTGTGCTGCCCTGTTCAAAACATGTATGTTTGTAAACATTTTAGTTGGATGTATGCAGGAACAAATGAATTTGTAGTTCATGCTGCTCGGTATGTTGCCTTTCTTTTATCCCCAAAGATATATCGTTTTGTACTTTTGTACAATTAAGGGGTTACAGTATAAATAATATTGAAGTGTCTTGTAAATGGTGTTTTTTATTTCAAAACAAGTTCTAGTACAACTTTTTTCCGCAGGAGCTAAAAGATGTAGAGTTGGCAGCTATATTAAATGACACAACAGGAACCATCATGGCAGGAGCTTATGCCGACCATAAGTGTTATATTGGGGTCATTTTAGGTAGGTTTTCTCATATCTAAATGAGATATTATTGAACTTTTGTGTAAACATTTAATATCAATAGTCTCTTCATTTGTGTACAGTGAAATCATAAAGATCTTATATTTTAATAAAACATCATATTAATTATGTGGTAGATGATTATTTGGAAAAATTAATTTATCTATTTATTTATTTATCTTGGCAATTTTAACTTTAAAAATTGAATGTGGATATTCTAGGAACTGGGTGCAATGCAAGCTATTTAGAACACATTGAAAATATAGACAAATGGAATTTACCAATTGAGGAACCAAAAGAGGTAGCAATACTTATTCTTGTCAGAACTTTGTTTTTCTTCGCTCATTGTTTTCAGTCACCAAATCTTGAACAAAATTAAGGTAAAAACAAACATCAAGATACACAATTTAAAAAGAAACATTTGGTAACACACAATCAAAATTTATTGATGTTTACTTTCAGTAGTATATGTTTTTGTTATCTATGTAGTTTTTTCTCCCAGGTTGTTATCGATATAGAATGGGGAGCATTTGGAGACAATGGTTGTATAGATTTCATCAAGACAGACTATGATAGAGAAGTTGATAAATATTCAAACCATGTTGGGTCTTTCACGTAAGTGAACTTAAAAATTTGTCATAAAAATTTGTCAAAATTTGTCTATAAAATGATTGGGACTTGTTTTAAACAGATCACAATGTTGTTGGTTAGTTCCTGCTGTAACTGATCAAATATTTTTATCTTAAAATTCAATGATAAACCCAAAGATAACAGTGGTACTCTTACATTGGCAGTGCCTTTTTAATTTGTGATTTGATTTTAATTTTGCATATGATGCACATAGTTCCCAGCTATTTATGTTGTATACATTATATTCTCTGTTTGTTGTAGCTGATTGCTTTCGTTCTGTTTGCAGCTTTGAAAAATACTTTGCAGGTATGTACATGGGTGAAACTGTACGCCTCATACTGCTGCATCTAACGCGAGAAGGTCTGATATTTAATGGCAAAGTGTCTGAAACGCTAGGCACACGGAATTCCTTAACCACAACACATGCAACAAAGATAGAAAAGTAAGTTGAAATAAGTTCATCTGTTTGGTAAAGTGTTTTAAGATCTTATATTGTATCTTAGTGGTGCATTTTAACTAAGAATTAAGGTGTCCAGTAACATTGAAATGCCCCAAAGAATCAAAGTTTTTATTTGCAATTTTTATTTCTATTGAAGTGTTTATTTCACTGCAGTAAATTTGAAAATTTATGTTGATTAGAATTTTGTTTTAACAAGGGTTATGTAGAATGGGCCAACATGCACTCTGAACTAACCTAAAGCAAGATACTTATTTTTTAGAGGGAGGGGGAGGCACTGGGTACAATTAAGGGTTCAAAGTTTTTAGAATTATATTGTTCTATAATAATTGCAAACTAGTAATGCCCACCCAGGATACATTTGTGCTAAGTGTAAGGTTATCCAAATTATACCAAATATTTTTCATATGGAGATTGAATTTTTTTATTTTTGTCACCAGAGACAATAAAGAGGGTAAAAGTGAGAGGACAATGAAAGTAATAGAGGAGATGGGCCTTAAGGATGAAGCCACAGAGTTTGACATCAGTGTGATCAAGTACGTGTGTGAAGTGATATCCATAAGAGCTGGTCAACTGGTTGGAGGAGGTGAGTAACCACTCTGGTAAATTAAAGTTTGGTATTTCTTTTAATTAGATAGAGCTAAAATAAAAATATACCAAACTAATAAAGAACTAATAATAAACTTTTAAAGAAGAGAAGAATCTCCCCTGAGGTTTATTCTTGTCCTTTCATTTCAAATTAAAAAAAAAACATTATTCTAAATTTATAATAATATTTCTTTGTCCAGCTTTGGCAGCATTGTGCAATAGAATGAAGAGGCCAGAGGTGACAGTAGCTGTAGATGGCTCCCTGTACCAGTATCATCCTAGGCTACACGATTTCTTGATGCAAAACATTGAAAAATTTGCACCAGAAACCAAGGTGGGGAGACATGGCTTCTTAAATTTTCATAAAACAGTACAAAAATAGTCAGTAATCAAAAGATGTTTAAGAAAGAATCTAGCAACCTGTGAAATGTGTTTTGATTTTTTTTAATTTGAGAAATGTTTTAACTTCCTTTTTCAGTTTGTTAACATTTTACACAACAAATTTAATAACAAAGTTTTATATGGTTTGGGGATAAAAGGAATTATATAATAAGATTATCTATTTTTTAACTGCTGAAACATGCAGATTGGAAAAACTGTCAGTTTCTTAAATATTTTATTGCATATTATTACAGGTTAAACTGATCCTTGTAGACGATGGCAGTGGAAAGGGAGCCGGACTTGTTGCAGCTGTTGTAGATAGACTTGCCAAGCATGGAAAATAACCTGGATTTGAATTCTAGTTTCTATATTTTATGCATGTCCTTTTTAGAATTACAAATTTTGAGTAAATAATTTTTAATATTATCATTCTGTTTGGAAAAAAAATATTTAAATTTATATATTTTATGCATGCCAAATTTAAGGTAAATAATTTTGAGTAAATAATTATTTTGAATAGTATAATTTTGCATGCAAAAATATTTTGGTAGCCTTATTGGTAAAGACCATGAAAGAAAATTTGAGGTATTTTATATATAGATACATATATTATATTGGTTTGTTTTTGTGGATTAGAGAAAGCCAATTGGAAATATGATAATTAAAATGCAACCACAGGACACTGCCATACTAGCTTTTGTATCCATTTTTATTTTCAAATTATTGTAGAACATAGCATGATGAGTCATTCCTATGAATCACTTTTTTAATAGTAAAAAATATGCATTTAGAGCATATTAACCTGGGCGTAATCTTATTATTTAAATTACTTATAGCCAACTATAGAAATCGGATGATTAGAATTATTTGGTTCATTTGATATAAAAGACCTTTAGTATATACAACCAGGAACCTTTTTTGTCATTGTCTTGAGTTGGACTGCCAACACATCATTATTTGACATTTACAGCATACTTGCACCTAATCTGTTGATTGCAAATTAACAATAATACATTGAGATACCTTTTGATATTATGATTGTCTCTGCAAAAGATAATTTTCAGATTCTTTAAAGATTAGTTATGTCTTGTGACATCAGAGAATGACAGTTTATGTTTTGAATGTGGAAGGCAGGTTGATGAAGGTTAATTAAGAAATTCAGTAGATTTTAAAATAAATTAAGTCTTCAATAATATAAGAAAAAATGTGTAACAAATACAGCAAATATTTAAAGTGAATGTGCATGCATGTCTTTTTTCTTGAAAATCAATAGAGAATGCAACTTTTTCTGTATTCATTTTCTGTATAAATGATTCTATTGAACAGTTTCATTAGCTATGTGCGTTTGAAATTACCAAGAGAGTTTCCGTTTGTCAATGACTATAGCACATTGACTGACATATACCAGCCATGTACAGTAAATGATTCTGGAATCAAAATGAAGCGATAAATGTCAATTACTGGAATGTGCATTTTTCACATATTTTCCCGTTATGCATACATTTACAAACTGCATGGAAGATCTCTGAAATAACAAGAACAAAAAGAAATAAAAATTTTCATCATTTATTGAATTGCTGCCTTTTCTTGTTATGGAATTCAAAGTAAGAACTGAACAAAAGGAATAATCAAAGTATGTGCATTCTCATATAATAGGTAAACATGTCTTGCTACCTCTGTTACAGTATTCAATACCTCAAGTTTTAAAGAACACAATGCTTAAAAGAACAGCACACTTATTGTTCAGTGGCGGGAACTACAATTCTTTTGTCCTTATGCATAGCAACAAGCCCTTTTTGAAATACCTTCTTTGGAGTTCTTTCATTTATGGCGCTGATTTTACTTTCCTTGGTTTATTTTAACTGTTCTATCTTCTATATAAATATAATGACTGGCCTAATCTCATTTTAGATTCAAACTCTTAAATTAGAATTTTTAACAGATACCATAGAACAGAAATAAGATAACATGTCAAATGATATACAGTTCAATATTGTTTATTTCCGTTGACAAACAGATAACTTGTGTTCAAAGTTGAATGGTTTAAAACAATGCAAATATGTGTAAATGAGCTTGTAAAGAGGACTTCAATCAAATAAAATTATCTTTTCATATCATGATACAATGGTTGAAAACTCAACACTTATGAACTTGTGACTATTGTTACATCACTTGACATCCTCAGTGATTTCATCTTATCTCAAGGACTAGATTTGCACAAAATGGCTAAATCATGTTGTTGCTGCAGCATTACATTTTACAATCTTTCCAAAAATATCGCTATCGTCATTACTAAAATGAGTATTAGAGATGTAAAAATATACCAGTGCAGTCTCTTTTCATTTATAGATCTAGAAGCACCTCAGAGATGTGACCAAAATGATGAAACCCTGTTATCAAGAAATCTGCAAAATCATCACAACACTGGGAATTTCAAGTCTTCACATAATTGTTGCTTCAGCTATTGAGTTTAGACTATTTGTATCAATGCCCTAGAATTGTGGCCTTTCTTATTATATACTGTAGATATAATTAAGACAGATCATTATTCTAGGCATCTTATGAAAGCCCTGTTTTTGTTTCAGCTATTGAGCTATGCTTATCTGTATTAACATTTACATATATAATTACATTTGAATAAAAATATATTTCAAAACCTAATAATGAGCCTAGAAGTATTCTAAGACATCCTATGAAAGCACTGTTTTTATTTCAGCTATATATTTATGCTTCATTGTACTGATTCTATGTACTATGTAATCCAGAGAGCCTCTTTGAACCTAGAAGTACTCTATGGGATCTGCAGCACTTTTCCCAGCTTGAAAACTGTGAACGCTGGGAGCCTCCCCAGTGTGCGGGAGAGGCACAAAGATGCGCACGTGGATGTATTCATCTCCCACCTGTACCTAAAATCAAATGTATTTTTGTTCTTGTTATAAGTATTTGATTCCTCTTTCTAAAAACAGGACTGTTGTTATACAGAGATATTATGTTTTTTGCAAATAATGTACAAAAACAAAAATTTAATAACAATAGATTAAGTTATAAGTACAGTCATCAGTTAATCTTATGCAGAACAAAGTTCAATGAGACAATACAATACTACTGTAATTGTCTTTTGAGGAGCATAATCTTAAGTAGGTTACAATAACAATGCTTTGAATTTCTCAGATATGCCTTCTGACTGAAGATAACCATGATGATATTAGTAGTTTTCAATACCTGAACTCCTTTAAGAATGAACTTTTTTAGTCTGATGCTAGCTTTAGAAAGTCTAAAATTGGAGTCCAAACAGTCAGAAATTATCCTTTTCATTTTTAAGAGCAAAAGCAAATCATCTAAAGTATTTTGACATCATATTTATAAGTTGGAAAATTCACTGAATAACAGTACATACATTTTATTGTTTTAACCGACACAAATAATCATCAGCACCTTAGGTAAAAGTGATATACATTAAGTTTAAAGTCTAATTCAAAATTACAAATCACAAAACTCTTTTCATTTATTCAGCTTACCTTGACAAAATAGTTTGTACCAGCAACTAATTGAGATCTGTAGGAAATGGCTTTACACTCTGAAAAGTTCTTTCCAACTTTCCCTTCTAGTTCCGCTTTCACCTAATAAAATATAACATATGCACAGTGTCACTGCAACTAACAAGGGATGGGTATTGATTAATTAAGACGTTTATCAAGTTAAAATATCAAGTTCTAGTTGATTTTTAAAGTTAAAAAAATATATATGCCGCTCCCTTGAAAAAAATGTAAATTACAGGCTGATCTGAAATGTGTGGTGTGGAATATGCAAAGTTAGTTCTTTTTCCATATCTTATGAAAGATGATTCACCCACACATGACAAAAGTTCTGTCGTGTGGAAAGTGGAACGAATCTTTCAAGTTTCAATGACAATGGCGCCAGTTACATTTTGGCAATAGAAATTAATGTGTACATTAAAAGTGCACATTTCTAGAATTTCCACGTGAATTTTAGTGCAAAACTATGCATTGGATACTAATGAATGTGCTTAGATCTGTACTGCAAGTGTATTATCAAACTTTCATACATATTTATAAACCCTATACAACTTTTAACACTAACAAAAGAAAACTTATTTACATGTACATGTAAGTCAAATCCCTCAACTTGGCAAATTTAACTGTGGAAAAAAGACCGTAAACACGGTTAATACCTACACCATCAACTATCTTTTGAATTTCAGCATCAGCATCTTTAACCTCACTGGCACCTCCTGGCATTGTCATTTCGGATAGCAAGAGAGTCAGAAGAACAAACCTCAACTGAACGCCACAAAATAAGAAATGATATGAATGACCTGAATCAACCCAAGAGATACCTTTATCACGTGACGTGGACACAAGCATGTGACTCTGAATTGTCACTTTGATTTGACAAAGATCATCGAAAAATTAAAGCGATAAATGGGAAAATATCCATATATAGTCATGAAAACGATTTCCGCGTATAAAACGAGGCAGTTCTTTCTATGTTTTGGGAGATCTTAAGAGGGGTTTCCCTGTCTATTTTTATCATTCAGGAATTATTTCAAAACGAGGCCAAGTATCCCATGATGCCAATTTGCACATATTTTCCTTTAGCATGGCTGACGGTTCGCAACCGAACTACGATGACCAGGGAGAGAATGGTGAAGAAAAAGTAAAAGTAATATGTTTAGGGGACAGTGCAGTTGGAAAATCAAAGTGAGTTACAATATCACATTATGAAACCATCAGTTGGTAGAACTGCACCCGAAATCCGAAATTATTGTATCTTGTATTATTGGCGTCGGTGTTCCGATTCAAAATGAAAAGTAAGATAACACTAGTTTCAGTGATAAATAAATGATCTGAAGAGCTTAATTGGCTGTTTTATAAGATGCCGGTTTAGCAGTGTTTTATTTCTCATTTACCTGTCGTCAGTGCCCTAATGATGCAGTGAACTAGTAGTGATCAACTAAAAGAAGAATGATCAACAGTAGTTAGCAGTGGTTAACTTTGTTATGCAACATTGCATTTAGGAAAGGAAGTAAAATGTCCCAGCCAGGAACTTACAATCGTTTTATACAACAATGTGTCATTTTTGATCTTATTTAAAATAAATATTTCAATTATGAACATCATTGCACACTAAGTACAGGTCGAATATTTTAACAGAATGTTTCAACTTGTGATAGATTGGGTCTGAGTTTATTATTATTTTAAAAATATTTATTGGGAAATAGCCAAAATGATGTCAGCATTGCTGGCACTAAGCATCTCAAAATATGCTAATTGAAATGCAGTTTTGAAAGCTTCACATATAATCTCTAAAAGATGCTAATAAAAATCAGATTTCAATTTAAACTCAATAAGTTAAATACCCACACTTGTTTGTAAAATTGGTTGATTTCAGCCCTTATTTCAGAGTACTTAAGGAGAGAGATATGCATTCCAAACAGACAAAAAAAGTTACATAAACGATAATTTATTTATAAACATGAACTTACTTAGTCTCTTTTGAATAAAAAAGGTTTGGACCAATAGCACTTAACAGCACCCCTCTTATTTGTAAGAATGGTTGCTGTAGTACTGTAGGTATAGGCTTTATGGTTCCAAAGTACACAACATTTAATTTATCTTTATTCTAAAAAGAAAAGCAGAAATAAAAAAGACTTCCTACTTGATTAATAAAATACATTATGAAGTTTAATATAGTTGACATATCCACAATATCTTTTCACTGGTGCTATATGTGCCATATATAAAAGACATGGCAGGGTATATCAAATCCGAATGTTTTGTTGAATTATTCTGCCAATATTTGTGTGTGCAATGATGTATGAAGAGAATAAATTTATAACTTTAATCCTTAACGAAGTCGTTACAGACATGGGGAAACTGCCAGTCTGACTAGTCAGGACTGCTAAGAAGCCAGAGGGCCAGCGAGATTTTTAATAACTGCAGGTCCTCTGGGCCAGCAAGGTTTATGTGAAAATACCACGCTCGGCTGTCACCTTGATTGGATAGTAAACGATTGTCGTAAAATCGCTAAATGATATTAAAACCGGGTTCATAAACTTGAAAAACACCTAGGACAACCTTAGACTGCCACATTAATCCAACACAATGCAAAAATAAACTATAACAAGTGGTTAAAGCCTTCAAACCGAATGTCGTAAAGTCCCCATATACCTCCATAGAGACAATAAAATAGAGTCAGCTTGTGAAACAAAAATAAACCAACTTAAACATAATAATCGAAATAAAATACTGCCGGGCATCGGAGCGGCCTAAAACTTGGCACGCTTACCGCAAATACTGCAGGCTACATCATCCTGTTGCTCGTTTGTAAATTCCGTGCATGGCATACGCACAATCAAACCGTATATCCAAATTGCACCTCTGATGTTTAAATTGGTCCTCTCTACAATCCAATTCAGGAAATGACGTAACCGCAGAGGTCGCATTGTCCAATGGCATGGCTTCTTTTTCGTAATGGTAGGTTAGAGAGGACCAATTATACTGCAGATTTCCTTCAGACCTTATGATCCTCCAAAGTTTCCCCCCCCCCCCCCCCAAGTCTGGTCTTATCTCAATTTCACACCACTTACAGCTGAACCCACATGTTATTTTGACAGTTGGCTTCATTTAGTTCTAATTAGTATTCTTTAAATGATAACAAATGGGAAAGCTGTGAATGTCTGTTCCTCTTTCAATAGGTGTAGGCCATACAAAGTAATATATTGTGGGCTTTATGAGATTTTAAACATAACGAAGGGTCTAAGGCTTCGTTCACATGGAATGTCTATTTTCTAAAAATCTTATTTTCTATTTGCACTATCTTATGATCACGGTCTGTGCCCTGAATATCCCGCCGCGTAATTACTGGCAGCGCGGGCCAGTTACTTATAGTAACTTATAGTAACTGGCTCGCGCTGCCAGTAATTACGCCGCGGGATATTCAGGGCACAGACCGTGATCAGAAGACATACCGCGAATAGAAAATAGAATTTAGAACATAGACATTGCATGTGAATGAAGCCTAAGGCCCTGTCTGTTTCAGAAGCTTTTCAGTTTTCACACTTCTTGATGGTCTTCGAAGACAGTGCAGTTGTTCTAGCATACATATATGATTCTTTTATAAATAAATTCTGGCACATAACACTTCAATCAAAGATAATACTACACAAAAGCAGTAAATTTAGTAGAACATAATTAAACAAAAATTAAGATAAAAGTGTTTGATTTATTTTAATATCATAAATCAGAGATTAAAAATATTATTAATTATGATTTGTGGAGTTCTAAAAGGCTAGTACGGAGAAAAACAAATAGCTGCTTGAAGAATCACAACCGTAAATTAATCGAATGGTTGTATAAAAAAAAAAACAACAACCTGACCTACATTTAAATCTTTTAACATTATAGTTAGTTGTCATAGCAAAACCTGAGGTACTAGCAAAATATTGCCTCCTGTATCCAAAGCAGTTCCATTTTAAAACAATAGTTAATATATGACTTCAAGTAATTAGTGATAAGGTCATATTACTTCAATAATAGTAATAGTATTGTATTTGTAGCTCTTGATATTTCCTGCTGAGAAGCAGAATACAGATTTCTCCTTTTTTTGTGTGTTAAACCTTACTAGTAATTGATAGACCAGACATCAATTGTAACATATTCTTTTAATTATGTCACAGTTCTATTACTGTACATTATTTAAAAAAAATAATTTTTTGAAATGATTTTCATTTTGTTTTGCAGGCTGGTGGAGCGGTTCCTCATGGATGGATAGTATCCTTTGATTGAATATCAAAATGGCATAATTATTCAAGACCATTTACAGTATAGTGTTCCATTTCTTTTTAATTAGATACCTGGAGTGAGCAGACATGCAATTTTCTTTTGTGCAGATGATGTACGTTATCACTTGCATACTCAGGTTAAAATGAGAAAGTTCAGGAAAGAGTGACAATGAAATATGACATGCCAAACCTGCTGAACTTTCCATAGATATTCCTAGTTTTTGATATGTTTGTGCTCTCTCACTCTCTCAGACGTAAATGATTGCTATTCAATACATTTTCTGTGTATGTCAAAGCACTCAATAACTTAGAGTTTCTGTTGACTGAAGTAATTAAATAGCAGGGGTATTATGTTATTAGAAAGTGCAATTCATAGAGTCCCTGAGTCAGTATTGATTTTTTGGTTAACTGATAGCACTTAAAACTACAACAATCACTGTATTTGTGCAAGGCTTGTCATTTCCTATCAATTTATCTTTGACGTCTACATTTATATTGTTCTTAGAATTGTTCTATGAATTATTTGAGTAACTGCCAAATGATGACTTTTAAAGAAATATGATTTTGGGGTATTTATACAAAGTCAGAACAAGGTATCCCCTCCCCTTGTAAAAAAAAAAAACAAAACAAATAATTATGAGAAATGAAAAATTAATCAGGTTTTCTTCCACTCCCCTCCCTTAAAAAGATTGAAAGAATTATGAGAAATGAAAAATTAATCAGATTTTCTACCAGAGCATTTCTCTTAACCACAATTTTCAGCCAACCTCAGCAGTTGTCCACATATGCTCTCACATTATTTAGGTATAAAACAAAGGTTAACAAGAAAGAGGTAGCTGTTGGTAAGTTTGAACTTTAAAACAAATTTAAATTCTTATATTTAAAGGTGTGACTTACATACTTTATTGCAGAAAAAAGCCATTTTAAACATCATTTAGAGTAGCATTATGTATGGCCATGATTTTTTTTTTTAGTCATGTAATGAACTGGAACATTTACAGGATACCTTTACAACTTTCAGTACTTTTAACTATGGCTTGGAGTCTCTCATTGTCTCATAAGCTGTGAGCTGAATATCAAACCATTTTGTAGTTTCTATTTTGCACACAAGTTTGCCTCCATTTTAAGGGTGAACTGCTAACGAGTGAAGTACTTAGGTTTTCATATTTCCACCCTGAGATACTTAATGAAGTGTTAAACTATTAACTCATCCAACTTGAAATATAAGCATCAGTTGTGTTTTGATTCTCTTAGTGGTGGTTTTTAAATTTGTTCCAATGAAAATCACATTTAAAATGTCTATACTTAAGGAAGCCGGTGGCTGATTTGGACTTTGTAATATAAAAACCTACTTAATTGCTTTGAATGGATGTCATTACACATGAAGCCGTGCTACTGAAAGTTAACAAAAATGTTTCGTTGTTAAACAGGCAAGAAATTAAATCTGATTGGACTTTGTATTTTTGTACTTGTGTTAAATTGCTCTAGATTCATAGCATTAGGAGCATATGTACTAGTACTATTAGTGCCACTGAAAAAAAAAACATATTGCAACAAGACTAAGTTTCATAAAAATTCCTTTTTTCATTATAAGATCTTTTTATCTTTGTAGATTTTTGGGATACGGCAGGCCAGGAGAGATTTAGTAGTATGCACCCCTCATACTATCATCAAGCGCATGCATGTATACTAGTAAGTGTTATCCAGTTTAGTTATTACTTTATTCCATGCAGAATATGAGCATTTGTTATAGCTCAGTAGCCCTTGATTTTTTTTCCTTAGTGAGATGTATTTAGAGGGATGTCGCTGAAGCGTTGTATGCACTTAAATAGATATTGGTTGAACATTTATCTGAAATAAGTGACCGTAGTAATAAATTGATTGTTTTCTTTTTCAGGTATTTGATGTAACTAGAAAAATCACTTATAAAAATTTACCAAATTGGTTTAAAGAATTGAGAGATTATAGACCTGAAATACCTTGTCTATGTGCTGCCAATAAAATAGATGGTGAGTCTATTGAATATTTGTAAATGTACGTTATAGACCTCCTGGCTCTCACTTTGAGTATTATATCATAGAGAGACAACTTTACTGGCACATTTTCAGAGGTTACACCAAATGATTACCTTACAGGGGATTTGACTTCCCTGTCATAAATTCTCCACAAGTTTACTTCCTGCTGTTTAGGCAGGGTTGTTTTTTTTAACCTAAATAGTACCTAAAATCAATAATTATTATATAATAATAATAATAAGAACACCCTAAAAATCAACACTGAAACAAGTTGCATTGTTATATTACTTACATAGTACTTTCTTTATTGGATATTGAATCCACATGGATGACATGCCCTCTGTGCCTGTGTTATGTTCTCTTCTGACTCCTTACTAGTATCTTGGAAGTGAATGTGGTTGAGTACTTGTCACATTGAGATCAACAGGGCGTGGAAACCACTTCTTGTGGGGACAGGGTTTATAATCTTATTCTTATGAATTTCAAATATTAGTTTTAGTCAATGTTAGCTAAATGTCTGTCCCCTTTTCAATTCTTTATTTTGTTTATTATTATTATGATTTCATTGCCAATTCAGTGATATTTTGAAAAAAAAGAAATATGTTTTCAAGTTATTGTTACCAAAGAATTATCTTTGTGGGCCACATTTTCACTTGCCATATACTAGTATGCCCAAATTTTATAACATAAATATGTCAATTTTTTTGCTAACATGGAGTTTGAAACAGATAAATTGTGGATTAACAATTTGCTCAGAATTGTAAAATGGTGATGTGTTTCATTTCATGATCTATTACAGTTGACTATGGTATAACCAAGAAAAGTTTTAACTTTGCCAAAAAGCACAACATGCCTTTTTACTTTGTGTCTGCATCAGACGGTACAAATGTAGTAAAGGTAAGATTTTACACTCTGACTTAATTTTTGTAAAATTTAAAAAGAGAGGAAGAAAAATCTAATATCCATGAAACGTGTCTTGAAGCTACAAAATATTTAAGTGCTTTCAGAAGGTGAATAATATTAATATTTGAAACCTATTTGTCTAACTTCGATTGTTTTTAAAAGGGCTAAATCTTATAATAATTAGCTTTTGTTTCTATTTGCAGTGTTTTAGGGATGCCATCAAAGCAGCAGTAGCATATAAGCAGAATTCTACTGACTTCATGGATGAAATAATGAGGGAGTTAGAGGTATTCAGTAAAACAAATAAGATTATTATGAAAAATCTTAATATTAGTGATTAATAAAGTTATTAACTTTTAAAAGAAGGGTACTGTTATGCCCAATTGGTTGTTATTTCAATTTTCAAGAACATACTCTTGATATAAAATAGACCAAAAGGTTTCCCTTAATCAGAACTTTTATGTTCCGTATACAGTTTACACTACTATATGAGGACATTTTAACTTAAAAAATTTACCTTAGTAGTTAACAAATTTTGAAATGCATTCTTTTTCTAGAATTTTGACCTTGAGACAGACACAAATGGGAAGAACTCTCAAGAAGACTGGGACAGTGGCATGGATAGCACAGAAAACTCTGAGGCCAAAGATGGAGCATCTGGAAGTTCAGGGGCACAGAGTGGAAAGAAAAGTTAGGACAATGTGTATATTCCTTAGTCACAGAGGTACATTTATAGCATTGCATTTAAACCAACTTTGAATAATTTAACTTGTATGAATTGAATTTGGAACATAGACAGCTGTGAGAAGATGAGCTAAGAATGGTGTATTGACTGCTGTGGCAGGCATAGCAGTGTTTGGCTATGTATTGTCCATTTTTTTAAAAATATCTATTTAGAGCTTAAGATCTGTATCTTGTCATGAAGGACAAGCAAGGCTGTGGCCACTCTAGCTAGTGTTAAGCACATTTACATTGGTTTAAGATGGCTTGAAGTTCCTAGAGGTGTAATCTTTAGAATTTGGAGTTCATTTTCAGAACTTCTCCATTGTCATTTTCTTTGAAATTATGCTTCTCTAAGATGCCTAGAATATTTGAAATCTTGTACCAAAAGTTTTGGTTGTGAGTTGTCTTTGGATGTAAGTTAATTGGTTTTTTTATCCCTGAGAAAATTCCCATATTCTATAGAAACCAGCGATAAGGGTTTGCGTGCTCTATGATAGACAGGGGTTTAATCTGTAAAATAAGGCTCAATTTGCTGAAATGTAGGATTATTCACATCTGCCTTAATTAAGTAGGAACTTATTTTTCATTGTAGTTAGTATGCTTAGTACTGGTTGTCACAGTCGTTATTTCATATATTCAAAGTCAGTATTAAAAGACCTTGCAGTTTGGGTTGGAGGAGCTGTTCGGTTTGAGAAAAAGCTGGTGCTCTAAGTACTAAAGTCAAGTAGAAAGTTATTAGTAAAGTTGGGCTTTACACATATCTAGAAATGAAGACAGTTTAGTCAACCGCAATCTGTAATGCTTATATAGTGAAAAACTGTGAGAATTTGAAAACATTTAGCATTTAAAGAATAGCAAAACTTGCAAGTGGATTTGTTTTGTGTATCATTTTTGAAAAGTGGCTTAAAGTGGTCTTGTTGTTTTGTTTGACCAAGACATTTATGGCATTTGTGGTTGTCTTTCATTTCAAATAATTACCAAGGCCCGTTTTAATTCAGAAATTTGTAATTGTGTTGATTGCAAAATAGAATTGGGTTAAGGCTTTTTTAGTCAACTATCCAAATTTAGTTGGAGAAAAAAAAGATTCCACTTTTGTGTGATGCAATGCCCTGCCTGCTCAGTTTGGCAAAATCTTACCAGTCGAAACATTGACTGAAGTGATTTTTCTTTTTACAAGTATTTTGAAAATGTGTTTAATTATAAAGGTTATTGTGTATATATATAATATATTAGTACAATGTAGATAAATAATAATTCTAACTTATGAAAATCTTATTGAAATACAGAATATATACTTAAAATTTTATTGCAATGATAATGCAGGATTTGCATTTTAAACTTGCGGTTTATCAGGTTTTCAACACTGCATAGGCTAACATATATTTAAGCATTTGGTCATCCGTCCCGTATATTATGAATTTATTTTAGTCTGTACTTAGCTATTTTTAGCGATATAATACAATACAATTAATGTTTTACAAGAATTCAGGTTCTTTTGAAATATGTTATTCAGTAAGTTGTTTTCATTATCATTTGTCTCGTTAATTTGAGATAAGAGCATCTCTTACTTATCAATTTCAAGGGACCAATTATTGTTGGAATTTCTGCATTTCCCAAGTGTGACATGTACCAAAATTGGTTATTTCAGAGAAATTCCAAGCAAATAACGTTTCTGTAATCATGTCTTTTTATCAGCAACAGAATTGTGTTGTCAGTGAAGTCCAATAAAATCATATGCTTCTAATACGTATTTGTTGGTTTAGAGAGAAAGAGACCAAGTGGAAAAAACACTTGAGGATAACATTTTTATTTTCTGCTTCTATTGATGCACTGAGAAAATTACAGTCTTAAAAGTTCAGTTCCAACTCCACATCCCTCAAAGACCTAAAACATTGCTAATTTCAAACTGAACTGACCATTGCTTTTTAAATAAAATTATGACCATTTGGTTGACATTATTTTTTCAAAACATTTTAATATCACGTTTAGTTTTTTAACACTTCTCATGGGTACCATGATCTCCTCACTGGGAAAGGTCTTCCATATAATAATTTAATACCATTTTATCCCTTTAAATAGTGCCCTAATTTACTCATTTTCTCCAAAGTGATGCATAATCTCAATCTGCTCTGAGTGTTACTGATACCAGTGGAGATTCTTGGTGAATATCATGAACCTTAGAAGAGTATTCACTGACAAAATTTTAACTACAACTTGGTAATATTATTTGACTAGAGAACTGATAAAATAAATTACTATTTATAACATATGCTAAAACCAATGTTACTCAGAGCAACAAACAACCCTAATGCAAGTCACACCATGACAACCAGTCCCTAATTATGTTATTTCTTTAACCTTACAATCAAGAAGCTTCAGTAACTAGAAATAAAAATATCAACACTAAATTCGACTAGACACACACTGAGACGCAGACCACATGATTAGATTATCCTTATGCACATGGTGTTACCAAATTGGGTACATGTGCATCAATGCCACTTAATTGCCTTATGACAACTTAGAAATATATATTATATATAATGCAGTGGCTTAGTTTCACAAAGCTATTTAAGGTTATGAAAACATTTACTGTACAGAGAAACAAAGTTGCCAAGCACCATATTATGAGAAATATTTGTACAGTACTGAACCTGATAAAATATTATCTAAAACAGAATAGGAGTGTTTAACGTGATGCAATAGACAAATAGCATTTGCTACTCCATCTCAGGGGTTAATATAACTAAGTTTAGATGCTACTTCTCCAGCTTGCGAAAAAAATATTAATATAATACAGAAAACAGGAAGCAGCTGGTTTGCCTGATCTGACCTGAACAACTTTGATGCTGAAATGTTAAGCCATCACCAATATGATTATTATAACTGCCTTATATTGAAAATAAAATCACAGACATTCTCTGTGAGTTACAATGACGCACAAGTACAAATGGCACTTATACAATACACTTTGAGGTAATAATAATAATAATTATAGTAATAAATGATGGTAATATCAAACATAAAATATACAGAACTGTAATATCACCGTACATGTTCCAAGAAAATAATGTACAAATCAAGAATAATGCAGCCTCTCCATCAGCTGAATCATTTAACCCTTTTTACTAGAATAATATTGTGATATACAAGAGATTAAGAATTACACAATATTACTGTTTGCCACAGCCTTCTTAATCGCCCGCTCCATGTTCATGCGGTGACCAACTCTACTGACTCCCAATTCCAGAAAATCATTCCTGGTTAACGTAGCAAGATTCTGCCCATCAATGTCATTCTCCACAAATATAGTCTTGTATTCTGACAGCTTCAAATCATCCAGCCAATCAGAGACATCATCACACGTCCAATCAGTGATGGACTTAATTTCAAAAGGTCTCAGGGGACCCATCGGTTTTCTCTCCTGCATAACAGGTGGGGGGAGACTGGCCACGTACGCCTCTGTGCTGTCAGAGGAGCTGAACTCTGCTGGAGGTGGCACCACTACTGATTCAGTGGTGTCAGTGAATTGTGGTGGCGGTGGTGGCATCACAATTAGGTCATCGTCAAATACTTCTGGAATAGTGGGCTCCAGGGACAAGTCAATACCACCTCGCCCAGGACGTGGACTTTCATACGGAGCAAAATCTCTATCTGATAGCGAAGACATAGTGGAGCCAGACGACAACAAGCTTGCATTATCTTCAAATGCATGAGTTGAGGAACCTTTACCACTTGAGACATTAAGAGCTGTGTCGCTACCACTAAATGATGGAGGTGGTGGAATAACCTCAATGGTTGTCATGCTATCAATTTCCATGTCTGTCGAAGAGACATTGTCACTAGATGTAAAAGACTGGCCATTTAACAATGAATCTCCATCAAATTTGTCTAATTTTGTGGAGCTATCTTCTCCACTTTTATCATCACCATTGTCTAGCACAGGTGGAGGAAGGGCTTCTTCAAAGACAAAATTGCTTTGTGGTTCCTCAACCACTTTTTCTGCAGGTTTTTCTTTGACTGGTGATGCCTGCTCTTTTTCTGGTGATTTTAAATCAGTGGATTCATTATCTGTGGCACCAAATATGAAGATGGTGGTCGATTTTGGAGTGCCTGGTTTTTTCACTGGTCGCAAAGAAGGAGGTTGTAGTATTTGACCAGGATCAAAATTACCACTGCTTCTTTTATTTTCCCTCTCCTGGGAATTTCTAGGAGATTGTGAATTTCTCAAAGATTGCTTGGTGATATTGCTTGGAGCAGCAGAATTATTGTTATTATTTTCATTTTTAGCCATATCATTTACTTTCTTTGCATCAGGCTTATGTTTCTCCTGGGATTTTCTCTGAAGAAGATACTTTTGCCTAGCTTTTTCTGCCATAGCAAGGAAATTGGTCTCCGCCTTTTGTGTGTCTACTGATTTGATAGACATATCCAGGGCCGGTTGCTTTGCTTCCTCTGTAACAGGACTCTGCGGCTTCTCTGTCTTCTTCTCTATCACTCTTTCAGGGGATGGTCTGTTTGGTTTTGAAGCAACTGGAGGTGGAACTTTCACAGCTGGCTTAGGCTGTGTTGGAGGAGCCATTTCAATGTCGTGTTTCACACTGCCATTTGAAGAGACAGATGTTGTCACTGCGATCACTTCATCTTCTTTATCTTGCTCTTTAGCGCCTACTGCTGCTGCTGCCGCCATGACGTGGGGTGGTGGAGACAGCTGAACTGTTTCCGTCTCCTCTACCATCATGCTCTTGCGAGGACTGTAAGGACCACTGTTCTTCGGGTCTGTGGGTTCCTTAAGGGTGGCCTCCTCAGGTTTACTGGTATCAATTTTCAACTGTGGCTTTGCAGCAGTGGGGGGAGGTGGCTGCTTGGCTTCCACCTTCTTCTCAGGCACCTTTTGTGTTTCTGTGGCAGGTTTACTTGGTTGTTTGTTCAAGTCAGGCTTCTTTTCTTGTTGCTGCTCCTTTTTATCATCTGGCAGAGGTCTACCAAAAGCCATCTGTACCTTCTTGTTCTTGGCTAGTCTTTTCTCTATGCTATCAGCTATGTCTTCTCCACTCCTCTGCTGAACCATCTCCCTTCTCTTAGCCACTGCAGCACTTAGGACATCTAAATGATCCACGCTGCTTTTTTGCTGTTTGCTTTTGTTCTGTTGTATCTTTTGTTCTATACTCTGTTCTTGCTTAGCAGCAGAAGCATCTGCAGTTGCCATGCGACTCTGACGTTTTTGTAAAGCAGCCATGAGATCATGTGCTTGTATGGTTGGTCTCTCTGTTGCTGGGGAGGCCTTGGGAGGTTGTTGTTGTTTGTGTTGTGGTGCCTTTGCCACGGAGCCTGTTGTCTGTGGCTGTGCACCAAGAGGGGGTGGAGGAGGGGGTGCAGGTGGTGGTGCACTTGCTGGAGGTGGGGGTGGTGGAGCAGGCGGAGCAGAAGCTGGAGGAGGAGGAGGCGGAGCAGAAGCTGGTGGTGGCGGTGCTGCTTTAGTTGGCGCTTTCTCTCCTTTCTCTACTTTCTCAATCCTTTTCATGGGAGGGGTGTTTCTAGTCTCTCTCCTATCCATCTGTGGCGTGGGCTCCCTTGATCTTGGGTGCTGTGCTGGAGGCTCAGGTGGAGCATATGACGGAGGAGGTGGAGGAACAACATTGTTCACATCATATTGCCTTTGTAAGTCTCTTTCTGTCTTGTTCACATCTTCTGTATCATAATCAGGCTCGGGTTCATTAGGAGGTGGCGATGTCTCTCTGTGAATGTCTGCACCTACCACTGGCGGGACGGGAGCCGACACTTGCCTCATCACCTGTTTCACAGAGGTCACACTACCCACAATACTCTCCATGTGTGACTGAATTTGCTGCTTGGTTACAGTCTCAGGGTCTTTGAGCCTTGCATAATTTCCTGGTCTAAAACTTGATTCAACTGGAGGAGTCTTGTTCGCCCCTGCAGCTTTGGATTTCTGGATCTCTTGTGAAACATTTGCATAAATATTCTCCCTGGTGTTAATTTTCACCATCTGACTCGGAGGCGGTTCGGGAACTCTATGTTTGAACTTGGGTGGAGTGGGAGGAGGATGATTAGGTGGTGGGGGAATCTCCCCAAAGTAATGTGCAGGCTGCCCTCCTACGGCCATGGTCATGGGCCTGGGGGGAGGGGCTGTTGAAGGAGGGGCGTGCCTGTAATTATCTTGTGTGGAAGACTGGGGTCGGTTGTGAGCATGTAAATAAGGTTCTGCATATATGGTGCCTGACGCCCTGTCTTCTGACTTAGGGCTCCATCTTGCACTACTAGAAGTACTATGTCCTGAGTCCTCTGAGTCATTATGCGCCACCTGGTGCAAGTGAGCTGATTTTTCTGCAGCCAAAGCTTGCTGTCTCTGAACATTTGATGTTGCATAAGGTGAAACATCTACTCTACTAAGGGAGCCTTTGCCATCCAAAGTCAGAGCACCAATTCTATCATTATCGTCCAACTGTGTCAAATCTGGGGTGCTCCTAGATTTGGTTAAGTCAGCTGGCTTCCTGTGCCGGATTTTTGCCTTCAGCTCTGAAGTGTTAGCGTAAGTTTTTGGTACAGGTACCTTTGGCTTGGCTAAGTTTGAAGCACTTCGGTCAGTGTCTATCAAAACATCCCCAGGGGAGGAACCCTGTCGTGTGAAAATCTCCTGTAACTCCACAGCACTTATCCTCCTAGAAGAGGGTCTGGAGCGGATAGATGCTGTCTTGTCCTGCCTCAGCGTGGCCTCTGCTGCAGCAGCCTTGGCAAGGATCTGCTGGCTGTTAGTAGACCCTGTTGGACTGGATTTTTCTGACCGCCCCTCAGATGTTGAGTCATATTCTGCTATTGCCTGGTCGAGGTCTTCCAGAGTTTCTGGTGAAAAGAAAAGAACTAGTGAGTTAAATCTTTCACATGTTAACCACCAATTTTGTAGTCAAATAATAATCTAAAATGAAGTCTGAGAAATTGTGATTAAAACAGGCCCACTTAGTATCATCAACTGATGTAATCATTCCTCAAAATAAAGTACCAACTTTCTGCTTAATCTAACAAGCAAAATGTTGTTTTTGAAATTCAAGGAAATAAATGAAGGTTGTATTATATATAATGCTTATCAATTGTTAGATATATATGTGTGATGTGTACAGTGTGGGTAAAGGGACCAAGATTTAAGCTCTCTACTAAGGAATTTTTTTAATCTGACCTGCAAACAAGCAGTATACTATCAGTTTATTCATCTACACTGACCAGCACAAGGTAATTCTTAATTTATAAAGAAAACTTATAAAGCATTAGTGACAGAGTATACAGCCTACTTCCTGAAAGGGTCATTTCTCTTGATAATAAATTGAGCATTTAAATGCAAACATTTTTCAACAGTGAATGATTGAGCTGTCCACTACAAATCTTAGCCTCCCAGTCTTTTGAAAGGCCTATCTATCATCTCCTTATATATTCTCCTTTATATTCTTCATAACTTAAAATCTCTCCTGAAATTCAAACTTAATGTACTGCTTCAGCCTTCCAATTTGCAATATATTCCATCTTTTTAACTACCTTGTCGCCAATGAGTCTCTTAATCATTTTTACCTTTTCATACAGCCTGTCCAGATACCTATTATACCTATATCTTTTCACTCTAATTTTCTATTTTCTTTCAAACATACCTCTTTCTTCAACTCCCATCTTTGCAAATGACTAAAAATTTACCCAAAATCATTCTTATTAAACATCCTCCTTGATTATTCAACAAACCCTGACCATCACTGTAGTTTATCAGTTATATCTATGTACATGACTCATCATCTCACGTAGTATATCTGTTATGGTCCCTGGTCAGCCTAACTGGCCTTGTCTGTCTACAATCATCAAATAGCCAACACCCCGTATTACATGGGGTGACTGACTTAGTTCCCCACCCACCTTATCATTTTCAAATCTTCAAAAAAATCCCCCTAAACATTCTCAACTACCTGTAGGCCAGTACTTAATTTGCTAGGCAACACCCTATAAAACATGGTCATCTTTTTGACAAAATAACTGACCAATTTAACTTTAAGAACAGCCCTAAATGTGTGTGTTTTTGCTGATATTCATCAGACTTCATACGGGTGGCCTCTTGTTACACTTTCTTGATTTTATTTTGATTCAGTCTGCACTTGGGACGCAATTTTGGGCAGTGAGCAAAATTTCCCTCCCCTGACTTTTATCAAATGGTGCTTGGTTACATAAATATCCTGTTGTAGGGCAATTGTTTTTCTGTCCTCTGGTAACTTCAGTAATACATATCGTATAGCTTTTAATAACACTCCTACTGTTGATTGCATTTTAAAAATTCATTTTTTACATTTTAATGGTAGTATTTCTATTTCCACTCCCATCCTGTCCTTGGTTTACCTATCCATGGAATCCATAACAATAAATTTTCTGTTATCTACTACCACTCCCCCCTGTCCGTCTGCTTCATTCAATATTATCCTCAAGTTGCAACCTCCTTCTGTTTTTCCTGTTTAAATTGACATTAAATACAGATCCATGGGCAAACATGGGAGAACCTAGAAAATCCAGAGTACTTATTCTTTCTCTACCTCTGGTTATGCAATAATTACTGACACATGAATTCACATAAAAAAATATGCCCCAACACATAAAACCTGATCATATATTCTTCTCCCATCAGAACCCACATTATCCTAATAATATGCAAAACAATTACTCCTATCTTTAAAAATATTGCTTGTTTGCAGGCTGACAGTGTGTGTGTGTGTGTGTGTGTGTGTGTGTGTGTGTGTGTGTGTGCGTGCGCGCAAATGTAATTAGTTGTAAGGGGCAAACCATGATACAGTGTACTGTTACCTATAATAAGTCAGTGCATGAAATCATCTATGATCGTGTGAGTTGATAATATAGATGCAGTATTATAACGATCCATTCCTAATTTAAATGCACTCACAGTTATGGTAAAATAAAAAGGTGAGATGAGGAATAAGTAAGGAGTGAAAAAGGAGTAAAAATTTCTATAAGAAACTTGTAAGAAGATTTTAAGTGTAATGTTAAGGCTGAGGGAATAAAATAAGAAGTAACAAAAACATCTGTGTAATCAGAAAGAAGAATTAGATAAAAAAAAATATAAGGAATGGAGAAGGGAGTATGAAATTTATAATATGCATGAGTATCGGTAAAATATAAAATGCATGGTCTTTATGCACAAATTTAACAGAGAGAATGGATATGAGAAGATGAATAAAACATAACATTGAGATACCTGGGCTAAAAAAACTAAATGGTTCTAGGTTGTTAATAATCATGCTTGCATGCACGTAAATTAACTGTATTATCACAAGTCGACTACAGGGGGAAAATAAGCATTTGTGTTAAGACATAATGAGATGCTGGACTGAGGAATCTAAAATGCTATTAACACTGTCTTTTTAGCAGCTGTTTGCCCCATTAAAAAGACCCTTTAAACGATCCTGCTGGTAAATTTCCCTTTTAGTACATTCCAACAGAGTGAGTGTTGATCTATAGTTTTTCACTATGACACAAGAAAAAAAAAGTGTGTCAATTTTTACTAGAATGTTTGAATGATATGCATTTTAGTCTCAAAAAAGGGTTTTATCACAAAAAATCATCAACTGGCAAAATTTGGACATAAAAAGTATTTGTCAGGGAAATCCCTCTTTGACAACTTCTTTGAAATGGTATCTTTTAAAAATGGCTCCTCAGTTTGAAAACATGTATGTAAAAATTTAGCCAAAGAAAAAAAAAAAGAAAAAGAAAGAAAGAAAATGGTGGCGTGGAGTCATTTTTTGAAAGACAGGTATATGCCCCAGCCCAGTCTAGCACCTCATACATGTAAAGACATGCAGACATCAGGGAGAATGCATGCATACCAATGACGGCCAGTCCTTCCATCATCGATTTAGCCTTTGAGCGACCTGTACTCAAACTCGTTCGCGGGTCCCTCTTCGGAGGTGGAGGGGCTGTTGAAAATAATCAATGTAAAGGTCTGAGTCACATGCAAGCTATTTAAATATCAACTCGACAATATTTCTACATTACTTCAACAGCTACAAGATGAAGTATACAATACACACACACACACACACACACAAAGTTGGGAAAAGGTCATCTAGCTAGAAGTCTGATCCCATACCCAACATGCAAATAGATTAAAGACTGGAAAAAGTGTTGGAAAACATTGGAAATTGTAAATGACTCAACAGTTTCATAACAAGAATATTTTCCATGATCATGAGCAAATTTTCTGAGTTGTTGTCTCATTTTGTTTTCATCTCCCACCTCTGCCAATACTGGCAAAAATTTGGCCTTTTCTCAACTTAACGAAGAGCAACTTTCACACACATACTACCGTATTCTCAAGCAAAACTTCATCTCTGATACCTGAATGCAAACCACATACGCCCATTCTAGCATGTAACAAAAGCAGTCTTACTACACCACCACCACTATACTTCTCTAGAAATTTTCAAATCCTCTAAAATATCCAAAAATAATTTTTTATTCCAGCACCCAAGGTTAAACAAGTACCATGAAAGCCTTTTTTCTCCAGAAAGTTTATTTTCAGATGAAAATTGAAAAAGCTCAAACAATATATAACAGAAGGCAGAATCTGCACACAATGAGTAAAGCTGAAATGAAATTTCTTTTGCATAGGGAAAAAGTTTTGCTTTACCACGTTACAATACAATACATGACAATACAGGACTTCAGGAGGACAATACCAATTCGTTTTAGTGAAAATTCACAAATTGTTCCGCCCATGTCCTTGAGTTAGTACTTACCTTTCTTTCTAGGGAATGTTCCTGCCACTGTCTCAGGACGTGCATCTCGTCGCTCAGGCTGGGGTGTTCTCGCATGGCGGAGCTCGAGGGGAGTTGACACTCGGACCACTTTCAGCGCCAAGGTACTCCCAGACTCCTTGATGAGGCGTACTGCTGCCTCATGAGTCGCTTGCACTACATTCACATTGTTGATCTGATATGAAAAAAAAAAAATTGATACATGATGACTTTTTTAAAGGTAAAATACTGAAATACAATTATTTATTGATACCATATTTTTTAAGAACTTTAAAAAGAATAATGCATATTCTTTTTCTATAATTTCTTGCAGTGGATATTAATGTTAATATTAGATGTTAAAGAAATACAATAAAGTAATTAATCAATTTCCACATTGTACAACATGTGAGTGCATCATAAGCCATATATATATATATGGATTTTATTTCAATATTTTTGCTCTTGCTAACAAATGATTCTTTCATCACACAAAACAACAATAGACATATATTTGTAAATAAAATGTTGCATATTCTGCCTACTTAACACTCCAGGCAAATAGTTTTAAACGCAGAAGGTGAATAAAAAGTTGGGCAATGGCGCCATTTTTATTTTTCTTTTCTTTTTATGAATGCACTTGCCTTGAGGGTACATTTAACTGCATTTTTTATTCATCATATTCACCTTACACTCAGTAGCAGGGAGAGTTTATCATCTGAATGTCCTCAATCAAGTCAAAGGTTATGTACCTGTTCACAATGTGATGCACAGACTTAATCAACCTGCCAATTTAGGATGAGCTGATACATATCAATATTACAAGTTATCCTGCCACATCCTAGCTGTACATGCGTGGTGTTGAGCTGATAGACACACACACACACAAGAGATAGAACATTAAGGAAATCCTCTTAATACTCATTATCTCATTGTTAAATGCAGCTCACCAACACACTGACCCAATGTTTTTGGTATTTTTACTGCTGGACTGGATTGATAAAATACAGAACCAATTCTGAAGGAAAAAGTATCAAATCGGAATTATTTAATAACTGACCTAGTGTAAACACAAACTCCTATGTACATTCTGACTGTAGAGAGACCTTTTCATATTGCTGATAGCTGTTACATGCAATTAAATGCCAATTACATGTACTGTGGCTCTTTGAACAAAGGGATGCACTGTGCCAATATTGATACTGGGTCTGATCCAGACAAAACAACACACGGAAAGCTAATATTCTTTAATATGGGTGCCTGTATTATCTCAGCAAGACATAATCAGGAAATCATATCAGAATTTGACACCAAATCTGAATGAATTTGAGACACAGCTCGGACATAGTCGGTATTAAATCAGAACACATACAAGACATTATCTGCATTAAATTGGAATGAGAGACACAATCATGTTCCAATCAAACCACAAGAAACACAATCAAAATGAAATCAGACTTTGAGCAACACACAATCAACATATAAGATTACCCCAATATTGTTTGGTTCAGAACAGATTCTACTGGATACGTGGGAAGCAAAGAGCAAGATTAATCTAATTATTTTGCAGAACCACCTGCAAGAAACAATACTGCAGTCAAAAAGATAATATTTGTGGTTAGCAGATTGGCCTTTTTCCTTATCCCTTTGAGAGATGATTATAAGTTAGGTGATGATTTTATTCAAAGGTATTTTAGAGGACACAAGGTGAAAACTGCAGTATAATTACAGTCGAGGCTTGCAGCCTAGGGCGTATGGATGGCATGTGCAACAAATTTTTATTTACGGAATCAGTAACCAAGTCATTTCTTTGTCTGTGGCAATTTAAACACCAACCTATAAGCTACTTTCCAAACTGGGCATTAATACCTTTGTTGTGCATGGATAGGTGTTATGAAAAGACCATTCTCTTGGCTCCTATTTTTCAACAGCTTTTTTTTTATTTTTGCTGCAGAACAGCCTCGGCATTATATCTTGATTCCTTCAAGTTACTTTTAAAAAAGGTCATTTTAATAGAAACAACACACCTGATGCATGACCAGTGGTAAGTAATAAAGGACATCCTGTGTTCATATACTGATTTTGGATTAAAATCATTTCTAATCTTTGCCCTTGAATATGCAACAGTCTTGTTTTTGTTTTTTTTCTTTCTGTTGACAATGTCCAACTTCCTTCAAACAAACTACCTAGCAAACCAAGCCATTAGTACATACATCAAGTTTGATCCATGACCAGCAGTTCTGTATAAAAGAACAGCCTGTCTTCACACAGACCAGGGAATTTTCAAAAATGCAGAACAACCTAGCATGGCGGCTAATTTAGTCCATCATGCAACAACAGGCTTTGGACAGGTGGACAGAACACAATACACTATTGACTGGTCTAAGATGTCAACTTGACTTGAAGAGTGGTAGTTTGAGACCTGGGTGTATTGTGCAACTAGTGACAAACTAATCTGCAGCTACATCTCCTCACTGTACATAGTGCTGTCTCTTTTTGTGTAATATTTTAATTGTGACTTCTGTGGCGGGGATGTTCACATGTTCACAGGGTGGCGCAGAACGTTAACAGTGTTCTGTTGACCTCTTTCTGTTATTCTGTCCAGTGTGTGGCCGTAAAACTTCTCAATGCAACTTTAATTCTGGCACAAAAATGGGTTTAACTTTTTTTTTGAAAAATGCACATTATTTTTTAAAGTTGAAAAGCGAGAGGAGAAATTAGTAGAATTATCAAATACTCAGCCATCAGAATAGGTTTACATGGATGTCACAAATGCAGAAATTTGTTATTTATTCAGCATAGAAAAGTACCTAAAATGATGGGATACATAACAACAAACTAAATAAAAATGCATGGAAGACAAATGTTTAGAGTTAGCAACCGTGGGTGCATTTCTCTTCTGCTTACCTCAATAAGAAAATCTCCAGATTTGAGTCCAGCTCTATGTGCCATGCCCCCGGGGTCCACCCTGTCCAAGTACTGCAGGGCAGGGAAGTCTGGGCTGGGCCGGAACTCAAGACTGCCTGCCTGCTCATCATGGGCTGAAGAAAACATAGAGAAAAAATTTAAAATACTTATTTATAATTAAAATGGACAGAGAAATATGATGAATCAAAACTTAAGGCTGCCTGCTTGTTTGGCTAAACAAAAAAGGGTCAAATTAGAGACACCAAAATTAATAAATAATTATGCAATTTTGAACAATATTATTTATCATAAGGATAAAAATGACATGCCCACACAATGTATGATTAAATTTCTCTCTTAGAGCCCTCAGTGATCTGTTTTACCTTGTGTGCATGTACAAATAATGTCTTTCTACAAATAGAAGCAAAAGGCTCATATGTGAAAATGTGGCAGGACATATCAGTAAGAAGATATATGTCTTTGAATATTATTAAAAACTTTGATGATCATTTGGTTCACAACTTTCTGTAAATTATGGAATCATGTTTTTTAATTGAGAGATTGCTAAAGGAAAAAATATTATAGCCAAATGACTCCTGTACAGATAATATGGTATTTTAATGGAGATACTACTGCTATCATAAACTGAGTGCATGACATAGCAAAATGTGCATAATGCCACACTTGCATGAGCACACAGATGCACTGGAATATGAAGTATGAATTATGAATGTGTCCAGCTTTAAAAGAATTAACTTTCTGGTGTCCATTATAAAAACTACCCACAAACACCCCTATTTCATAACTTTTATAGAACAAAAAATGTCCACAGCTTTTAAAAGTATTGTTTATCAATTCTGTAGAGCCAAAATGGGTGTGAATCAAAACAAGCCATTTGTAAGTCGGGACACACATTAATAACTATTTGTGTATTTTATTACAGTAATGGTGCTATGTGTTGGCAGGAAAGTTATCACACCCATATTTTTTCTATTAATTCACATTGGTATTGACATTTTGCAACTTAATATGAATAACACATTCCAGCAAAAACAGTCTTATGGCCACCATCTTAGTCAAGATAGAAGGGGTACATTATAAAAAATAAAATAAACTTTTGAAAATCCATCTTCAAGTGTGTTCAAACTGGCCAAAAAACCTAGATTGTAAACACTCTCTTTGACTTCAGTAAAAAACTGTACTAATTAGATGGTCACCAGCTTAAGGGTGGTCCACCTCGGCACAGCTACCCTTCATTCAACCAATGTCAGGTGGACACTGTATGATCAGTAGATACAGTCCAACCTGGGGTATTTTTTCCCTTCAGGAATACATCTTTCAACATGAGAACTGACCACAACTGATGTTTTGTTCCCTTAAGTCCTTGGTACCACGGTATCCCAGCTACATACTACATATAGCATGCTCTGTGGCCATTTCATATCATAATTCACCCACTGCAAAGCTTACAATGTAAATGTAAATGTGTGCACTGTACTGTCCTTTGTAAATTGGCTTTCATAACTGCACTTTATTAACTGCATACCAACTACTGTATATTAAGACCAAAACAATACAATCTTTCTAAGGGTCAAAAAACACTTATAATCTATCTCTGACTTCCTATTCTTTGTAGAGTTCATTTAATTTGCTTCAGAATGATTAACAAAAATAAGTGAAAAATGAGTTTTTCAGCATTAAATCTCGCTGGCATGTGGTTTAAATGTTGACAATTAAAACAGCTCTCAAATTTAAACTTGGAGAATAGTCACTGAATGTTTTTAGCAGAACCTTTTACTTTCTTCTTTTGGGTAACTTATTATTAAATTATTCATCAAAAAAGAAACATGAAGTCAAAACCCTCTCCATCATTCTTGTACCAGGCACATAATGCTGCACACAGTAATAAGAGGAAGGGCTTTTTCATGTACTTTCATACCATCCCAAATTATATACTAAAGAACTCCATTTTAATGTTTTGGAAGTGCATCTTCATGGTGATGTGATGGAATGTTACCTTAAAATAAGATTATCTGCCAGTTTAATTTTGGATTAAATTTTCAGATAAAAGGTACAGGCATTTTTTGAGGGTGGGAAGGGATGAGTGGCTACAATTTTTGACAACCCTTTCAGTCTATACTTTGCATTTTCTTTTGCAGGTAAATTGTTCTACTAGGAGACAAAAATAGAAAGAATGAATATTAGGAGAGTCATACTTACATCTTGCTCCCCTCAACACAAATCCGAAGCCACTGGGGCCCTTCTGTAACACAACAACCTTGGGTCCAGCATCACTAAAAAAAAATAATTAAAAATATTTAAAATTTAAAAATGTATAATTTCTAAAATAAAAATACCAATTTGTAATGGTCAGCTGTAGACGTTTGCAAGTTTTCTCTTTTTCACATTCATGCTTGGACATGTGGCAATGGTAACACTCACCATAATTTCTACTCCCATGAAAATATAACTTAGGCTTATTTAACTTCAAGTTCAAACAAATTTCTAACACAGGGAATAATTGTGCATGAAATAATATATTTCAAGAGCAAAATATTCTACACTTCAGGTATATATGATCAAAACAGAATCTACCTTTCATGCCATTCTAGCCTCTGCTAGAGATGACAGGCCATGAGAAGCATGTATTTTGTCCAATCTACGTATATTTTTATTGTTAATCATTTCTTCCTAGCAACCCAGAATACAGGATATCAAGTCCTCTTTTAAAAACAAAAGACATTGTCTCCTTTCAATGACGTGAACAACTATCAAGGTAAGACAGGTAAAACATCTGTCAGCTCGTTGTGTATCACACGATAAACCTGGCAGATACGTTGTACATGTATGCAGAATGCTAAGGCACCACACCATTATTTAACACAACACAGACAGCATGGCTACACCCGCCTTTTTTACAGGTTGTCACCATACCGCTTAAATACATTGTTAATATGTGTCTGAAAAATAGTTCTCTTTATACGTGGATTATGTTTCACTTGATGACTCTAATAACTGAAATTATATTTTTCCTTTTTTTCACTGAGTTGATTTTCCAATGATCATCCATTACAAAATACAACTAAGTATTAACCCTTATTTGTTCTAGATTTCATATTTGTTTTTCTTGACATTCTTTTAAGCCCATCCCGTCCATCTACAAGCTTTAAAACAACATCATGGCTGAAAAATAGTCGTGTTTATGACCGATGATACAGGATATACAAGAGGTCCATTAAACTTATCACCACATACTATCATTAGCCACAACCTCCAATACATGACCACAAGTAGAAGATACAACAGCATGGAATAAAAAAAAATCACTATTTCATGACTCTTGAACCTAATATTATTCGGATTTTATAGACTGACTGTTTCGTTATCTCCTCATATCCAAAACCTACAGGAACATTAACTGTTACATAAATATGCAGATTATATGATAATTATAATGTTTTATTCCTTTGAGTCTTTATACTATGACTCAAATGGGGAAACCATTCTATATGAACTGAGTGGGTGCCTATCATAAAACTCATATATGTAATGATGACTTCCTTTTCCTCTGCCATACAGGTGACAAGCTATGATGGAAATTATAGTCCGAGGGGTAGCAAATATCCTCCCCTGGACAAATTTAAACTAATCTGGGAAAATCAGGGTTTATGAAACATCTGCATGCGTGAGGCACATGTCTGATGGTAGTTGTCCAGGGATATTAAATATATAGCTGCAAATCACATCTTGCTAAATATTGCAATCAATAACTACCAGGTCCACGAGTTATGAAGATTGTTAAATGGAAGTTTCTGTTTTTAAATTTTAAGTTAACTTTTTTTCTGTTTTCCGTGTCGTTCAATAATTTTATTCTTAGCATTCACCATCTTTTTGGCAATGATCTGATTCCAAATTCTCAATCAAAATTGTCAATAAAATTATCCATTATGAGTACAGTACCATAGGTATATAAATTGTTCTAGACATTTTAAGAAAGCTTTGAGCTGGAAATAAAAAAAGCTAAATCAATCAGAAAAGAAGAAAATAACAAACCTTCTCCAAAATCCATTCCCATCATAGGGCTCTCCAGCAAATTGTGTACGCGGATCATTCCACTGATTTTCATTCACAGTTAACAGATCTGGCTCGCTCTTGAACCTTTGACGTGCCTGAAGAAATGCACTGTCAGAGCTCTGCCTTAGTAAAACAGGCCTGGTATTGTTTTGAGGCGTGTGACCATTTAAGAACTGTGTGCTACCCTCGGATATTTTAGGTGGTTTGTCTTTTTTCTTTAAACTGAGGGAGAACTTCTTTGACTTATAACCCCTGGGTAAACTAGCAGACACAGTAGTATAGTCTTTAATGGGTTCATCAAAATCATCGTCTTCAAAGATTGGTGGATTCCTGAAGATAGGGGTATGACTGATGTTCAGAGGAGGAGGGCTGGTTGGCCCTGCCTGGCTGTGCTGAGCTACAGGTACACCAAAATGTCCTTGAGGACTGACACTGCCAGATGCCTCCAATAAATCTGGGGTGCTGGCAAAGTAAGAATTTTTCCTAAGTGGTCTACCTGAGGCAGCCTCCATTTGTTGTCTCTGTTGTTGTTGTAATTGTAATTGTTCTTGCTGCTGCTGTTTTAGTAAAGACAGTTTCTCACGTTGTTTAGCTGACAGTTTCATATTTCTAGGCAGGGTACGAGAATCGTAGTAAAACCCCTTTGTATCAGGGGCAGGAAAGTATTCACTATTCAAGTCCTGTCCATGATGACCACCATTATAAAATCCCCCTGCACTAGGGGCAGGGTTATGGCTTCTTCCGCCAGGTTGAATCTTAGGAGCCATATTCCCGCCAAAGCCTGTCTGACTGTTTGAAGGATACCTCATGTTTATATCCTGTTCTTCAGTCACAGATTCCAAATTTATAGAACTTGAACGTTTAGGTGGAGGTGGAGGAACTTTTTTACGACCACCCCCTGTCTTTTGATCAGTGTTTTCTTCAGCACTCTTTTGCCTTCTTAGAACAACAGACTGAGCAGTACCTGCTTCATCTTTCTTTGTGTCTCCACTGCCTTGCTGATCCAACAAATTAGAATGACTGTCAAGCCCATTAAAAGTTAATGTATTCGTCCCCACAGGTGAGATGCTCTTATTTTCGTGATTAATCTGCTGAGGCCAAGCCCCCTCGGCTGGTTTGCCATTAGCACCATTGAAGTGTGGATGTGACGTCAGGTTGTCATTCCTCCAGTGTGTTGCCGTTGTCTGCAGCTGATGTGGTCGCGTCTCCCTTTCAGCTATCATCATCCTTCCCTGCGGCAATTGGTTTGCATTTTCCCTCTCCACTGTCTGGTTAGAAATGTGGTTGCCTGTGCCTGCAATATCTAACTCATGCAAATTTGCATTGTCGCATGTCTTATGAGTATTTTGCCTAGTCTGCTGAGAACCATTAAGTTTTTTACAGGGGTCATGCTGAATGCGAGCACGTCCTCCAATTGAATCCACTGATTCTACACTTCTGCTTCTCCTGAGCTTTCCAATTATCTCCCCCGAGGAACTGTTATATGCTCTGTCTTGTACCTGGACTTTTGTCGCCTTGTTTTTTGAGTGACTTGGTAATCGAGATCCATTAGGAGGCTGGTCACTAAAGGATGTACTCTGAGTGAAAAAACCTTGCTGCGCAGAGTCTACGCTCATCTGCTTAAGGAGAGGCCTTCGTGGATGCTGAGCGTTGAGTCTGTTAACTACTGATCCATTGCTAATATATGACCCATGTCCTAGTGGCTGCTGTTGGTGCTGATGATAGTACTGCAAGGAAGGAGTATCCATCTCAGATATCGACCTATGCAACTTCTCTCGCCGTCCTTGCTGACTCCATGCACCAGCAGATATGGGCCTGTCGTCGTAAGCAATTTCGCATGCATCAGGAGGCAGGCTGAGCTGGGGTGGACCAACATAAGCTGGCCCAAACAGACGTTCCATAGAACGCGATCTAGCTGCAGAAACACTCATAGATCTCTGCATGTATCTTCCCCTGTCCCCACCATTCCTGTGATGATCATGGTGTCCATTTGGAATTTGCTGGTACCCCATATCTTGAGCTGGTCTATTTGGAGAATGGAAAAGAGGGACACCTGGTCTCCTGCCCCTGTGGATGTCCCCTCTAATATGGGGCAAGGAGGACATTGGTAACCTGTCAAACACCTGTCTTTTATTCTTATGACTTTTCCTGTGAGCCATTGTAAAAGTCAGAGACTGCTTACTCCATACAAAACAACCCCTACAAACAGGTTTCTAGCAAGTCTCAGTCAATAGAGAAAAGGGGAAAATTGCCTTTGTTTCATTATCAAAGTGATCCTATATGTTTCCACAGAATGTTTAGCATCAATAAGACTGGTGTGATGACTGTTCAATTAAGGCCCAGACGCTTCATTATTTCCATACATGCTGTAACAGCTTGCTGTGAGGTGTTGGAAAATGGGTCTAGGCAAATCACTGCCTTGTGGTCATACTACCTGTAAAATACCTGTACAATACAATCCTGCAGGGAAAACTTGGTAATCTGTCAACACCACTGAGGTATATAACTTACAGGACAATGCATATGTCTACAGTCTGTTTTAAATAGACTTTTCAATCCTCAAAGGGAAAAAAAAATTCCTCTCTTATTTTTCCCCAGTCCCAGAGAGTAATATAGCCATTTGTCAACATTTGGACTACACCTTGGAATGTATAAATAAATATTCAACAGGTCCAAATAATCCTTGAAGTTCCTTTTTTATAATTCTTCTTCTTGATACTTTTCTCACCAAACATCAGTGAAAGGCATATTGTCTTCTCTATTTTGGAAATATTAACTGCATATACTGTCACTTAAAAGACTAGTATTTGCATTTGCTTTGAAAAGCCAGTCCCTGTTCCTATCTGTTTATAATAATATTCCTTTTCAGTTTATCCACAACAATACTAAAATCCCGTATTTGTTACAGTAATGACTTCTGCATCAAGGCATCAAAAGATGCTGGTAATTTGTCCAAACCTGTGTCCAGAGAATATGCATTGTAAGGTCAAATCACGTCCAACTGTATTAATCCACTGTGTCCATGCAACGTGACACCTCCACAAAAAAACACTACCAACCTTCTCCTTAGCATCCTTACAGCCTTATGACTTGAATTTCTCCAACATACTTGATATCTCATCAAAAGTTCTGGTTGAGGGGCTTTTTGCATTATTTAAGATGGTGATGACGATCTTGGAAGCTTGAAAAGTAGGAGTCCATACATTAAGCCAGGCTATCCGTGGCAACTGCATCCTAATCACCTGCATCAGTTCTTCCTGAGGAATTAGCATTCATTTGATACCCTGCCATAATAGCATCACTTAACAATAATTACAGCATATTTGCCTGTGACAAAATTACCAGTCTGTAACATCTACACAGGTTTCAAGATGAGTGATGTGTTGGCTGTTGTAGCTCTACCACCCCTAGGTCTATTAGGTCACACCTGGCTGGATTGCCCTGTGTTATTTAAATTGCTACATTAAAGCTTCCAGCTAGGCATCCCCAGCAGAATTAGGCAGCATTACTTGCTACTGGCCCTGGGCTGGACTACAAACAGTCTCTCTTACAGAGCCCAAATCAGCAGTGTCCCTAAATGACTGAATAGTGTGCTGTCCCACAGTTCACCAGCTATAACTTTTACACTTGTACATGTATATCTTACTATTTCTCATCTCTAGTCAGGTAGAAGAATTTCTGTCAAAATAAAGCTGTAAACACTCTTACTATAGAGCACTACAACTGGCACAGGTAACAAAGCTTACTGACTCAGGATGATTTGCAGATAACAAAAATGCCAGGGCAACAGGCCCAAATTGTCCACCTTCAAACTCCATCCCAGTGAACAACATGCAGGAATTCCCTGATGTCTTGTAATGCTCACATAATGACAGGTGTGAAAACCTAAGTGTACACTTGGCTCAGCAATGCAGTTTGGGCGAAATATCTAACACAAATACAAGACGTCTTTCTCCATGCCTTTAGAAACCACAAAGGAATTGTATGTACCAATGTCAACAAATCACAGTTAAAGATCAGCAGCGTGTTCTGCCTTTGACAAAAGGCAAATATTTCCCTTTAAAAAAATACTGAAATTTGTACTAGATTAGCTTTGACATGTTTGCCACAGGGAAGGCAATAGGCAAACACAGCGTTAAGTCATCCATAAAAGACCAATATCAAAATGGGCACACTTCTTTTCTCCTTCCCTCCATCTTAAATGTATAGCATTTACACTACCATCAAACTGTAGGAATTACTACATACTGGTTTCTATATATGCTGGTTTCATAATTCTTAACCTGTGACTCAAATTTTACTGTGCATTATACAATAAATTCTTTATCTTCAAAGGAAGATGAGCAACAATATCTAATATTCAGGGTGATGTGCTATTCATTAACATCCTTAGATGAAGATTGGCATATCATTCATAATGGGTATGCTGGGTCCAAGGATGAAGGAAAATGCAAAATTATTTTGTTTTTTACCTTTCATTCTGATGAGAGCCATATTAATAGATTTAAAATCCATGCAGAAAACACTTAAAGATTAAAAACAATGTACTATTCACTGGGCAGTTTCAGATTTGTTAAAGAATGAAAATTTTATTGCACAGAAATGATATGCTCTGATACCCAGGGAGCTCATTCACACTTCCTATGATAACACATAATGGCCACAGGTTGATTCTACTGTGGTATTTAATCATAACAAAACCTTAGATAGCCTCAGTATGATAAAGAATCATTCTGTGACAAATGCACATTAATTATAGGCTATAAGCCACACATCAAAGAATCTGGGGTTACCATGTACCATTCAACGAACTCCTGATGTGCATTTTTTCCTGTCTAGACTGCCCCCAAAGCTAACGAAACACTATTGCCTTTGCCAAATAGAAAAAAAATCTAGTCTACTTCTACCGTGCTCGCATGGACTCACAAGCATACCTAATGATTTTGTATGAAACACAGTGAAGGGGTCAGGGATTTTTTAAGGTCTGTGTTGACCTGCAGAGTCTGGCAAAATCTGTTATCACTGATTTATTGAAATGAAAGATTCGCATTTTCTTTAATCATGCTTCAGATCACCTATCCATATACAAATACATGCGGTTAATTCCCACTTGTCACATTATTTTAGCCTTACAATAAAGAAGATAATATCTAACCTATGAAAGACTGGAAGACAACTGCAGCTTTTAATGTGAAGAAAATTAACCTTTGCCCTAATACACCTCTCCTTTACTGTAATGTTCATTCATAATTACATTATTTAGCATATATTAAATTTAATAACTTCTTTTGTCTATGACTCACCCTGTGGTTGGGCTTTAATAAAGGGGGCTGTGAAAAGTGTGGATGATAATTTGTATATGAAAAGGCACGAGCAAGGAAGGAAATAAATGAACAGGATAGAGTCTAACGTTCTTAATTATTATAAAGAAAATACCATGGCTACAAACAAATGGGTGATAAAATGTTCTTAAATGCGCTCTCTCCAGCATCTTCGTCACGCACCATAAACCCATGCAATTAGACATCTAGCGACTAAACTGCATAAAAGTCTGCTCTCTTTGTTTAGTGATAAACTGCATTTCAAAGACTACCATTTAAATAACCCAAATGTCACCAATTTATCTGGGGAATAGGTAAATAGATTTGTGTTTTCATTAATGATTTAGTCAGGGACGAGGCTGCCATTTAGTGAAAAAGATGGAAAATATGGCGTGAGGTCCAGGTGGCTGCCTAGGGCGATGATATTTAAAGATCCCAAAAAGGCAGAAATCCCCTGATAGTCAGAAAAATCTTATCCCTATTTGGTCCTCCATGACAGTTTGACTGCAAAAGATCTTCAGTAGCCAGAACGCAGCTGATGCATTTTTGTTTCGTAATTCGCATAACATTGTAAAAGAACTAAATCTGTATGTGATTGACCCTACAGTTAAAATGTGATACATGTTACAAGCAACAACCCTCTTCATTAACTTGACAAACAATAATTTGGGCAGAGCTATTAAATCCATTATTACGTAAAGCAGCAGCATCAAGCAGACACATTAACATGATGTATGATGCACAACCTTGGGCAAATTCAAAACACTTCATCATGTCATTTCTTTTTACTGCCAGGTACATTAACAGACTAACTGATTGAGTCTCTACAAAAGAGGGTGGACTGTGATACCTGTGATACTGTTTTCTTCAGATTTATCTCATTCATCACAGAAATTAGGTGGAAATTATCTACTGTTAAGTGGCCCTTAGCCATAAATCAGTCACAATAAGAAGTACATGATGTTTTTATATTTATAAGTACTGAATAACTACTTTGTTATTATCAGTTGACATCACATGCATATAGATGACACTTATGCTAAAAAATAGGGAATATTCTTTTTCCAATCTGATAAGAACTTACAACTTCAGGTCAATGACTTGGCCATGCAAATTGTTATTTGGCAATTTGTTTTAGGGTGTGTTTTTTAAAACTTAAACTAAAATTAACTTTCCCATCCAAGTTTATTTTAATTTCATTACTTAATCAGTGAATTTCCAAAAATTATGTAAAACCTGCATCATTTGTGTTACCACACAACTTTCCTAACAGAACAGAAACCTATATCACCTCAGCCGCTACAAAACATTGCTACTTAACAAGAAAAAAAACTTAACTTTCTTTGCATGATTAAATCAACAAAATACAAAATAGCTTCCCAGAACAACAACTGACCGTACACTCTTTGTACAAAGCCAGTGGTCAGATAATTTATGATACACACGAATGTGCAGGCAGACTGTGCCCCATTGTGTGGCAAGAGGTCTTTGGGGCACTTATGCGGGCATAAAATTGGTCCACAAAGGAAATGGAAAGAATGACCACCCGAGGCATGCACCTTTATCTTCTCAACACAATCTCTATTTTAATGCTTTGCATGTCCTAAATCCTCCAAACACCATTCCAGTTTTATGTCTTCATTAATGCAGTACAAAGTATGCTGTAAATATCTCTCAGGGCTGAAATGCTCATTAAGTATAGGGCCAGTGTCCACTGCTATTTAAGTCTATACACTCTCAAACTGCCTTCTTCACAGCATCCTTAAACTAGCAAAAAAACCTTGTATTATAGAGAAGCAAAAAGCATTAGCATCAATAGGAAAGACAAATGTAACAATGTAAATGTCTCTGAATTCCTGATTAAATTCTTAAAATATCAAAATAGTTACATAATACTTTTCCTACCTACAAATCATATCAAATATAAAAATGGTCTTATTCACCAATCACTTATTTCCAAAGTCAAATCAACTGGTTATTTTCATATAACATTTACTCCAATTTCCAATTCGACAGTGTCATTACATTAAGCTTTTGTGACTAAGCATATCTACTGACAGCTGAATGATTATCTGCAGTAAATGCCTGTACAATTTCTTTTTTAAATCATAAGGAGCCTGCAGGCATCACATTTCAAATGTAATTTAGGCTTTACTATCAGATTATTATTTTCTATTATATGGCCTGCAACACTGGATTAAGTTGTCGTCATATTTATACTAATTCATTACTGTTAATACCGGATACACCACTAAAACATGTATATATGAAATAATTTATAGCATTACTATCCTGGTGATATTTTTTGTAGAACTATTCAATCAATTTCTAATATTCAAGTCAGTCCTGGATTTCAATACAATAGTGATATTGTTTATGGAGCAAAAGGGGTGGGGAGTGGGGTGGGGGAGAGTGCAGAAACTTTTTTTAGGGGGGCTGCAATGATCTATACTTTCATAGACCCACGCAGCAATTTTCTTTACAAATAAATAATGCACTTTCTTATTTTTATGACTTCATCTTTTCCACAGAAAAAGGGGAATCTTTTGAACTCAACATAACAACTAGCCAGCTGTAAGATTAATGGCAAAAACAAAATCGCTGTCAGCTAACTTAACAAAACATGCAAGCTAGACCTTTATCCTTGGCTGGTAGTTGCATCTCTAGAAGCAGTTGAGAACTGATTGTGTTAGGAGTGCACTCCTATTGTGTTGAATTGAGTCTTTCCAGCAACCCTACTGCATTGCATCACTTGGCATGTTACATGTGCAAGAAGACCTTGGTAAAGTAACATTATGGTAAAGCTAATGGCTTTATAGGGACTTTTATTGCAGTAAAACTGCACATCAATATTACACAATGTTTTCTTTTTTTTCAGATTGAATTCTTCAGAATTTATCTTATGGTAAAATTTCAAAGTCAGGTTATGCACGAATGCCACTTAATTGGTTTCTTCAGCACATTTTCTCGATAATGATGAATTTGTAATAACTTTCAGTGGCAATTGCCACATAGTAAATGGCATTTCACCGTAAGGCTTCCACCATATTATATGCATTTATAACTATATTATAAACTATATTAAAGTAGCAGTTGGATCTCTGCCCAGTCAAACCTAGATAATCCTCATTTCAGTCCATTTAGTCAGGAATGTCGGGGTGAAAAACCACTGCTGTGGATTCTAATGAATCTTTAAAACACCAAGACCTGCTTGGCATGCTGCCATCAATTAAATCCCTCCTGTCACAAATATTATGCCATTTTCTGCAACTTCTATTTCTGTACACAGACCCCTGATAGTGAATTGTCAAACTGTGCAGACACTAAAAATAAATCAAGCTCATCCTGCCTGATGTTATACTTCCCTCTCATTAAAATGTTACTGTGATCATTCCAGATAAATTTTATGCATCATCATGCATAGCGTAAATATTTCTACACATCATCAGCACCTAGGTGGATAAAAAAAGAATACGTTTTTTTCCAATTCTCCTAATTGACTAAATATAAAAATCTAGGAGCTAGGACTGTATACTGCAAAAAAAAAGCTGAAATGTGTTTTCTGTAGGACTTACCTGTCTGAACTCATGAGTGCTGACAGTGTATGCCTCTTTATCACAACTGAATCTTCATCACCACTGTGGACTGAGCCTGCAGTGCCACCTAGAGAAATAATGTAAATATATGCTAAAACATTGAAAGATGTGCGAAAATATGTT